CTGACTCTGCAAGAGTATCTTCTTGCAAAATTTGATGCTCCCAAGTGTAGACCTCTGCACTTACATTCGGCAACGATGGCCGTCGCTCGGCTGCTGCTGTTTCTGGCAAGATGCGAAGGCATCCCGATGTATTCCTGGTCTGGTCTTTGTTCGGGATTTTCGGCCTTTGCTGCGAATTGGGCTTAGCTTTCTGTCTGAGAGCGCTGTCTGGTTGCCTTGCATGCTGTCCGAAGGGAAGTAGAAAACACACACCGAAGCCCCAAGTATCTCAATGAAGAAAGGGTTCGCAACCCCCAGTCTGAAACCCTGTAGCCGAAGCTAGCAAGTCCGAAGTTTGTGTTAGTTTAGTGGTGGTCTTGAACTGCTTCTTGGGTATGGAGGCTGCAGCTGGTGGATTCGCCTGCGGGAGATCTGTGCCGAGGCTCCAGAATCATTTGGGGGGCAAGGTGGTAGGTTCATTGTGCACGGTCAGGTTACTTCGGGTGGTAGGTAATGTCCATGTTAGATTATTAGGGGGGATGTGTCCAGATCTATTGTGGGCTCTTATGATATGCTGTTCTATAAGTCATGACAGTGGATTTGTTGTGGGACAGTCTTCGGGTATTTTGTTTCGCAGGAAGAGAGAAGCAGAAACCGGAACCCTGGATACCTAGACGAAGTCTCTGGCCAAGCCTTCATTGCACTCCCCCTTCACAAAAGTAGTAGTGCTGGGCCACCTTAGTTTTGTTGAAACTCATTGGAATTCGCAGCTGTTTCAATTTCCGGGCATGTGTTCTCCATGGTGCAGAAGTGACAAGGGCACAGTCAGAGTTCCGAGCCTACGAAACAGTGCAGAGGTGGTTCCTCTTCGGAGGGGTGAGTACTTTAAGGGATTGCCGAAACTCGGCGACTTTGGGCCAGTGGGTCATTGCTTCTCTAGCCTCGGGCTGGCTCCGGAGTCAGTCTTCAGGGGAAATCTTTCGTTCAGGGTTTGTCGGCCTCATGGATAGAGCAGCAGAGGCCATGATATTCGCCAATGGCAACTGGGTGTCAACTGTTGAGTTGTCTGAGGAGCTGACGAAGAAGATTCGCGAGGTTGCCGAGCATCCAGACTGTTCTACTCGTCGTTACAAGCTGACTTCTGTGATTTTCCACATTCAGGAGGTCGGAGAGGGTGCTCACGAGCAGGACCAGAAGGGTGAGAATCAGCAAGTGGGCTTCTCAGAGGCGCACGAGGATGGACTTCCGGATATTTTTGAAATGGTGGATCCTGCAGTGGAGGGGCCTGTGACGTGTAACAACAAGCGAAAGGCTGCAGCGATGGACTCGTGAAGCAGCAGAGGATCTGGGACCGAAGTTCTTGCAGGACGAACGATTTAGGTGGCATCTGTTTCGGTCTTCGGCTTCAGGAGAGGCCGAAGTTATGATTTTTGAGGCCTGCTGACTCACCTGAGCTGTGGCAGGTGTGAAAAAAGTTGGCAGTTGTATTTGTCCTCTCAAGATACATGGCTAGGGCGGCTTATTATTTTGCTTCAGGGCACCCAGAGCAAGAAACGGAGCAGGACCTCTGCTGAAGTCCCCAACCTTGTGTGGTAGTGACTACTCAGTTGTCCTCAACCCCGAAAGGCCCTGCTGAAACTTGGTAGACAACTTGTCTAGGTCCTGAGCATCCTAAGTCTGTAACCCCCTCTCTCCAAAGCGTGCAGACATCTCTACCTCATCTTTTAGCCTTTGGTTATTTCGAACCTCCACCATTGCAGGCAGAGATCTTTTGTGGCTCCTGGTCGCGAGTCGTGGCTGCCCTGCTTGCGGGGTGGTGTGGCTTGGTATCGGTATGCTTAGGGTTTTCTCTTGAAGGGTTTGTTGTGGATTAGTTCTACAAAGTATCTGAAATATGGGCTTTGGAGGGTTTAGGGTTTGGTGTTGAAGGGTAATTTGAGAAGGGCTTAAAAGGGTTTAGGGGGTTACAGGATCTTTGGGTTTAGGGTTTAGGGTTTAAGTTTAGGGTTCAGGGTTTAGGGTCGAGATCTTCGGGTTTACTTTTGGATCAATAATTCGTTCTTGTTTATAAATGATTGGGTCTGAGTCTGGGCTGAGGAGCCTTCGGTTCTAGGCTTTCGGGCTGCGAGCTGCAGGATTTTTTTGTTGAGGCTAGTCTGCTGGAGGATCTTCCTTTTTGTTTTGCGATTGTGGAGAGTTTCGAGTCCATGTGGGCTGAGGGTTTTGCGTTGGCCAGTTTGACATTGGGGGGTATTTTTGCTGGTTGGGGGTTAGTGTGTGCACTGATGTCAGCAATGCCTCCATTTCTGGGAGGCATGCGATCGAAGGTACTTCGTTCGGGGCTCCTTTCCTGGGCATCGAGGTTGCACGTTCTGAATCAGGGCCTGGAGTTCTCCCATTCAGACATGAATTCTGTAGTAAAGCCTAAACCCTGAACCCTGAACCCTAAACCCTAAACCTTAAACCCTAAACCCTAAACTTTTAAACCCTAAACCCTAAACCCTAAACCCTAAACCCTAGACCCTAGACCCTAAACCCTAAACCCTAAGCCCTAAGCCCTAAACCCTAAACCCTAAACCCTAAACCCTAACCCTAAACCCTAAACCCTAAACCCTAAAACCCTGGCCCCTAAACCCTAAACCCTAAACCCTGATCCCCAGGCCTGGCTTTCTTGTCTTCTGCGAAGTTATCCTCTTGTTCTCGGACGACTCGCCCGTGTACTGGACCAGAGCTCGATGTCTCTTCCAGCCACTGGACATGTCTTCCAGGTAGTTACTTCTGATGCCCCGATGTTTCTCATTCGGAGTCCAGCAAGAGAGTCGTGTAGATGGAGTCGATTGCATTTGTCAGCCCTGCCACGATTTTAAAAGAACAGAAGTGCCGAGCTGTGCTGCTTGATTCATCCTGGTCAGATGCCAGCACTCGGGACTCTGAACTTGTGCAGTTGTGAATCAGTGAATTCTCTCTCTTTGCGCGTCAGACGGCTCTTGGGGTCAGTTGCCTGGGGCTCTGCTGCCTCTGGGAAAGTGCAGCTTCATGGCGAAGTCAGGAAAGAGACCTGCTGATAGGGATGCTCCCCCGGCCAAGCGAGCCAAGAAGCCCGATTCAGCTGTCAAGGAGAGTAGGGATCCCGAAAGAAAGAAATCTCGTCGTGAAGTTCGTGAGAAGTTGGAGCAGAAGATGAAGAAGGAGAAGAAAGCTTCTTCTGCTTCAGGCTCAGAGGCCGAGGCTTCTTCTGGTGGCTCAGGCAACGAGGATGCCACCGATCAGGATCAAGAACGGCAGCAGTTGGAGAGTGTGGCTCTTGCATTCGGCTTGAGACTTGCCTTCTCATTTTCTTTCCTTAGGAACGGAATTCTGCCGGTTAGGGTGCTGTTTGCATTGTGAGCCTCGCCCAGGAAGCCGAAGCTGCTCCAGGTGAAGCGAAGCCAGCTTCATCTCAGGGACCTTACAGCTGCACAGCTAGCAGCTGTGATTGCTGGCCTCATGCCCCAGTTGACTCCTCTTCAACTCCTCAAAATAGGTGGCGAAATCCTCCAGGCATGTCCTGCTGGTGTCATGTGTCCAATATAAATCTCACGTCTTTGCTGCGACGTCAATTTGGGGTGAGCCCACAATGCTGCAAATCACCTCTTCCTCGCAGGTGAGACAATCCTTGACCACACAGTGGAAGCAGCAGTCCAGCAAGTCCTCGGATGCACACATGCAGGAAAAGCTGGACATGTTGAAGCGAGAGAACATGTCTGAGAGAGCTTGGAAAACCAGACTGGTGGAGATTTTGTCCACAGTCACAGGCCTTCTTGATTCATTTACCATTGCCTCAGCCCTCTGCATTCCCAGTCAGTTTCTTCACTCTTTCCTCATGTGACGGGAGTTGCTTCGCAGATGGCCAAGTGAACGAGCTTATGGTCATTCGCCAGCATGCCCACTTGATCAGCTTGCAGCAGACACTTGCTCTTACCGGCTTTGTCTGTTGTTTGTGCTCTGGGGTTGAGATTAAGCTCAGGGAACCTGGTTTGTGTTCCACTCTCTTACACACAGCTTAACTTGCCTCTACCCCCTTTTGCCTAGGCTTATTCGTTCCGAATGGGCGAGTGTGGACGAAGAAAAGAGGCAGCAGAGGCAAACTGCTTTGACCGAGAAGCTCAAGGAGTGGCAGGCCCTTGTGCAGAAAGAGATGACAACACTCAACGAGTCATCTCCAGCGCCTCGTAAGAGGCCACCCAAGACCGACTTTGATGATGGCAGGGGCTCTGCTCCGGCAACCGGATCCAACAAGTCTGACAAGTGTGCTTCCAAGCCAGAGAGTAATGCCCCACCGAAGGGGGAGCTATCGGCGGGTGAGAGCGACGAGGACCTCTTTGATTCCAGATTCAGGCGACGAGTGCAGGCTTCCGGCAAAGAGGGTGCCAAGCGGGAAGCAGCGGACAACGAGAGCCAGCGCCAGGACCTCTGCTTTTCAGTTTAGGTTTGGAGTCTGCTGTGACTTCTAGTCCGGCATCGGGTTGCTCAGGTCTTGCCTCTGAAAAGTTTAGGGTTTAGGGTTTAGGGTTTAGGGTTTAGGGTTTAGGGTTTAGGATTTAGGGTTTAGGGTTTAGGGTTTAGGGTTTAGGGTTTAGGATTTAGGGTTTAGGGTTTAGGGTTTAGGGTTTAGGGTTTAGGGTTTAGGGTTTAGGGTTTAGGGCCCAGAACTGTCAACTCAAAACCCTCAACCCAGGACCTGGGGTACAGGACCTTCGAGGCTCTCCTGGTCTAGGCTCTTGGTTTCGGGCAGGCTTCAGGGTTTGGTGTCTGGGTTTGAGGGTTTAGGGTTGAGGGTTCAGGCCTTACCTGGACGTGCCAATCAGACCCAGGCCATACGCTGCTGGGCGGCCTGTTCTTGTGACTTTGTACCTGGACGACATCGTGGTCGCAGTACCAGCTGACATGGCAGCACAGGCTGCCGAACTCACAGCAGCTGCAGTCGGGGACGGGCTGCCAGGGCACGCGGGGGCGGGCTCCAGCTCGCGCCAGACAAGACCATGGCATGGAGCCCACGTGCAGCGCGCCCGCCTGACGTACCCGCCTGCACTTGGAAGGAAGAGGGCTTCGTCTTTCTGGGCAGCCCAGTTGCTGGGGAAGATGAGCCCTCGGCAGCCTTCCTCCGCGCCGGAGTCTCGCTTGGCTCCAACAACGCCATGCAGCAGCATTGGCATGCCGCGGCCGATGGGTGTGTCGCGCTGCTTGCCAAGCTCCGGCATGCTCACTCTCGACGCGCGGAAGCTGGGCAGGCGCAGGGCGAAGCCGTCCTCAACGCCTCTCAACTCTGCCAGCTCATGCTTCGCCTGTGCGTCGAGCCCAAACTCGTCCACCTCCTCCGCGCCTCCCCACCAGGTTGCCTGGGGCACGGGCCGGCGCTCATGGATGCGACCTTGCAGGCCGCCTTTGCCAGCATTACGGAACTGGGCCCGCTCCAGCCTCACCACCTGGAGCAAATGTCGCTGCCTGTGCAGCAAGGCGGTTGCGGCATCGGGGCCCTATCTCTCAAGCATGGCGCAGCCTTTGCAGGGAGCTGGGCGCTGTGCCTTGCCCCGGTCTTAGCGCGGCTTCCTGTAGCAGATGCCGCCGGCATCATGACAGCCCTGCAGGTTAACGACAGGACCCATCCCGTGGCAGCGTCGCTCCTACTTGCGCAAGACGTGCTGCGCACCAGCGGTGTATCGTCTGCCAAGTTGCCTGACTGGGGCGCGGTTGCCAAAGCGCCACGTCGGGGCTGTCAGCACACCCTCTCCGCTGCTGCCGCCGTCGCCGCCAGAGAACGCTTGCTCGCCGGGCTCGAGCTGCGCGACGCAGCCCGCGTCCGGTCTTGCGGCGGCGACGGAGCCGGGCAGTTCCTTGTCTGCCCTGCGCGCGAAGGCTGGCGTACTGAACTCTTCGATGGAGCGTTCTGCCACGCCGTTCGCTGGCGCCTGGGTGTGCCGACCACCTCAGCGGGCCAAACCTGCCACATCCGCTGCCAGGCGTCGGGCGGACGCTGTGCACCACCACTGGACCCGCTGGGCCACCACGCAGTCGTGTGCAAATACGGGGGATTCAAAACGTTTCGCCACTCCCGTCTTGTCCACGAACTGCGCGGTGTGCTCCGCGAGTCCGGGGCCGTTGTGCCGGCCCGTGAAGTTGAGGTGCCCGGATGGCAGCGTGCTGACGGCACGCGGGCGCGGCTAGACGTCGCGTTCGCGTGGGCAGGCCGTGAGTGCTATGCAGACGTCACCATCCGGCACCCATGCGCCGCCAAGTATGTCCGACAGGCTGGTGCGCAGGACGGGGCCGCGCTTCGTCTTGCGGAGGCTGGAAAGCGGTCGCGCTACCCGGCGGTCGCCGCCGCGGGGCTGGATGCGGTCGAGCCCTTCGCCGTTGAGACATTCGGCCGGCTCGGGCCGAACGCGGTGCGCCTGCTCCGGACGGCGCGGCAGCAGGCTGCGGAGCGGCAGGCCCCGTATGCTCGCTGGGCGGGCCCTGCCTTGCACCAGAAATGGCTCGCGTCCCTCAGCTGCTCGCTTCAGCAGGCCCTGTATGAGGCCTCGAGAGCTAGCTGGGGGTCGCGGGCTCCCGAAGCTGACCTGAGTGGGTTCGGGCGTTAGGGGTAGGTTGGGCCGTTTGTGGCACTTTCACTTTCACTAAAGCCCTAAACCCTAAACCCTAAACCCTAAACCCTAAACCCTAAATCCTAAGTCCTAAGCCCTAAGCCCTAAACCCTAAACCCTAAACCCTACTTACATGGAGAGGACAGTGCCGGTGCCAAGGAGACTTCCATTGCCGATACAGGCCCGGACTGGCTCCCTGCTCTAGAGAAGCATGTGGGCAAGTTCCTGCGAGCTGCCTCTGATCGTGTCCTGTTTGGGCAAATTTTGATGGCCGATGGCCTGGATGTGTCTAGCCTGCAAGCACAGAACATATGACATGTGGACTCTTCTTCCCCTTCTTTTCCCCACAAATCCGGAGCGGGCCCGCGAGGCTTCCCTGCAAGATTTCTTCGAGCAAGCTTTCTCGGCTGAGCCCATTTATGGTCTGGATCTTCTAGGCAGTCAAGCACAAGAGCTGGCCAAGACGATGACCTTTGCTGGTCGTCGAAGCCTAGATCCTCTCTTGCAACATTTGAGAGACTACAAGGCCGGGCGCATGTCCTGGTCACAGTAACCTTTTCAATAACTGTTCGGTCCAGGACGAGATCCTACTGGATGCACAAGAAGTGTCAGCTGATCTCGCCAGTGGTGTCGGCTCTCTTTGATCTAGGGGCTGCTTCTTGTCCTGCTGCCAGTCCAGTTTACACACAATGACAGGTCGATTCGATGAGGCAGCAGATCCCAGCTCCACAAGGGTGCCCACTGCTGCAGGTGTGGCGCTGTCCTGTTCTCTTTTGTTTTGGTGGACTCACGAATGTTCAAAGGCGAAGTGAAGAGCAAGAGCGAGCAGCCCGAAACCCCTGCAGGATATGCGACATTGTTTTTTTTGGGGGGGGAGGGGGGGGGGGGGTGGTTGTGATGTGTGTCTTGTGGCTTGCAGAATGTGTTTTTTTCCAGGATCTTTGGTTGCGGTGAAGACAGAGACCTCTGATGGTGCCGATGCTGCTGCAGGCCCTCGATGAGCTAGCGGGGATTCTCCAGCCTTTGCCTTGCTTAGCCCGATTGCTGTAGGAGTTCTGATGGCTGTCAAGCCCGAGCTTGTGGAAAGCAAGATGGAGGTGCAGAACAGAACCTGTAAGATAGACATTGAAGATCGAAATCACTTAAGGCGAAGCCCTACTCGCCCGTAGGCATTCGAGGATGCCTACGACAGCGACTCTTGAATCGTTGGATGCAGAGGGTCATGCGAGGGTCTGTGTCCGGTGGATTGCACCTGACCGAGTGAGCCTGGAAAAGTGCGCGCTGCCACTGCAGGTCACCACTGCAGGCACTGCTGCCACATGTGAGCGCCCTATGTCTCCACAAACCCCGATAGGAGGAAGCCCGGTGCGGGGGAGTGTGCTCCACAACGAAGCAAGTGCGGGAGGGAGTTTTGGGTGACACTGGAGGAGAAGTCGGTGGTGTTTGAGTGTCCAGATTTGGGCCCAGGAAGCGAGGCACAGGTGAGCCTGGGCGACCATGGGCGGGATGTGGTTCCATACCTTTTTCCTCAGCTTGGCTCGCTTTGCTGCATTTTGCTTTCTCATCTTTCTTTTTCGTTGGCATAACATGCTGTCAGCGAGCGATGCATGAAACCATGTTTCATATACCCTCTTGTGTGGTCTTGCGTAAGTGGTAAAAGGATAATGTTTCATAACCATCGGGTTTCATACAGGAATGTTACGCCATAGCGTTTTTCGGAAGTGACTTAGGAAAGGAACTAAGAAAATAAAAAATGAGAAACAGTCGGGTCGAAATCCCTCGACCTTTTTTTTTGAAACCATGTTTCATAGCTTTGGGGCGTCTGGAGGATGGTCGGCTCCAGCGATCAGACATCGACAGTCTTGAAGAACCTGAACATTTAGAGGGGCTGCTGCTGTCCAGTTCAAGCTCGGTCGACCCATTCCTCTCTGTCCCACCATGGCATTCTCCAGAAGAAACAAGATGACACGAAACAGGAATGCTGTGAAACACTTGTGGGCAGCCCGTTTGCCTCTCTTCCAGCAGCACAGATGGTTGCAGTGCGAAACAGAGGCACCCTGGAAGTGGCTCGAGGGACATGAAGACTTTGCTCAGGTGTCTGAGTTCCTGCGAACAGCCAGGGAAGGAGATCGCCTGTACATGCGAGAGTCACTTCGTCTCATCGTGGAGGATCGCACAGGGGATCGTCTCTGTGTAGAGGATTACGACGGGTCTGAGTACTATGTCGTGTTCTTAGAGCGCTTTCCTGCTGTCCTCGTGGACCTTAACGAGCTGGACTAATTAGAATATATGGTGTAATTCGTGCTTCGAAAGTCAGACAGTTACTCAGCTGCGAAAACAGAAGCAATGATTGTCATTTTGGGAGAGTCAGTGTCAGTGTGTGTGTGTGTGTGTGTGTGTGTCTGACACACGAAAAGCAACAGTGCACCCTGTGGCTCGAGGCTTGGAGGCAGGGGGCCCCAAGCATGAAGGACACAGTGCGGGAAGCCGAGGCGGCCATTTTGGCTGCCACCTCCGAAGCAGAGGTGCGTCGCATCTGCGATGAGGCACATGTCAAGATTGCAAGGCACATGCTCGCCTTGCAGCAAGATGAGAAGGTGTCCCTCACGGACCTGAAAAAAATGGCAAAAGAAGCCCTGGAGGGTCTCGAAGCATCGGTACCACTGCCTCCCTTGCCAGCTTGCGAGGCAAAGAAAAGAGCTGCTCAGGCAGAGCCTGCTGAGCAGGCAGAGTCTCCATCTGCAAGCAAGGGCACTGACTTCAAGTGGCTCTTCCACACCATGGGGGCTGATGTGGTCTCTGTTTTGAAGGCTAGCAGCATGCAGTGAGTAGTGGCCCAGTGTCTCTTGTGTCTTGAGTCCTCGGCATGTATTGCTGGGTGAGAGGTCTCGGCTGCTGACAGCATCGACGGTTACACTTTTCTGTGGGCCATACCAGAATGGTGGAAATTCCGAACACCCTTTGCAGGTTGGTACAGCCGAAGCTACCAGACAGTGGCCAAGCCCATTCTCCAGGAATGGGACTTGGGCGACAACCATGCCCTCATGCTGAAATTAAAGAGTCAGGTGTGCATTTGCGTGAGCCGTAAAGTTGCTTTGCTGACGTTGAACACAGACACAGCCAAGGTTATCAGACGAGCAGGCTACAAAGGTGACCGGCCAGATGCCACAAGCCTGCAGCTGCCAGTGGATTCTGCCACAATCCCTGGCTGCCTTGCTTGTGTTGCGTGCTTCCTACAGAACCGGTCCCTGACAGCAGAAGCACTGAAAGAGACATGGTCTCTTGTGGAAATGTTCGACAAGTTGTGCGACAAGACTGGGACCATTCGCTTGGCCAGACAAGTGGAGGAGTCCGCGCTCAGGGTCGAGGAAAATCGCATTCTGCTAGAGGATTGGAATTCCTGCACCGCTGGCATCGGCCTAGAAGTCATACGCACCGTCACGACAAAGTGCCGACTCTGAAATAGCCCTGTGTCGCAGGCCTCCTGACTGACACATGGTTCTTAGTGACTGACTGAGGCTGTTCCCCAACGACCGCCTCTACATCAGCCTGGGGAAAGCAGTCTATGTCCTTTGCCACTGTCGCTCCAGGAGCTCCTTCAAGACAAACGAGGCTGCGAGTCGAGCAACCAAGCGACTCCTGCACAGCTTCACTCAGAGCATCGAGCTTCGTCTCGAGAACACCCAACACCTCCTGGAGGACTCTTGTCCCCCAGCTCGTCGTGGGGCCTGCTACCACCCACTGCTGAAATCTTCCCGGCTTCGTGGCAGTACTGTGATGAGAGAAGCTCTGGTGGCCAGGTTTGCGCGGAAATCCAGTGGCTTCATGACCACCAAAGACAGTGAGCCCGAAATCGGGATTCTGGGATTGGTGAACAAAACATCCAAATTCGCCCACGCAACTTGCGAGGAGTTCTTGATCAGGTACCTTGTCAAGGCCAGTGAGGCCGTCAGTAGAAGCACAGAGCCCGGCGACTCCTGCACTCGGGTCTTGAACTGGTGCATGGACTCAGCAAGGGCCTGTTCATTTCAGGCTGGGCTGGGAAGAAGAAGACATCATGAAGTGCCTTGCTTCTTTGTTTCAAAACCATTGCTCCCCACAGGTGCTGTCCTTCCAGCTGCAGTTCGACCAAACAGAGGCCAGCTTCATACAAATACTTCCAGACAGCAACCCATGTGCTGATGGTGGCACCGTCCTCCAAGCCCTCAATGTAGCGCTTCAGGGACCCGGGCTCTCAGCAGGTGCACAGATGCCAAAGACATACAGAGAACTGCGAACATACAGAGCTGCCACGAAATCTCTCTTGCACTCGACAAGGAACTTGATCGGGCTCCTCCTGCCTGGTTTCGATTTCAGCTGGTGCATTCCAGAAAACATTCTTGTGCCACATGAAAACAAGCAAAGGTACAAGATGTCCTCAGAAGAAAAAACCCTCCACAGCTTGGACGTCAGCAAGGATGCTTACTTCCTCTATGACCCCACCACTGGCATTTCCACAGCAGACTTCGCAAGCAGCAAGCAAAACGAAGTCCTGCGACTTTGTTTCAGTGGCGATGAAGGGTCCGAGAACTTCGGCATGATGTTGTGGTTGTGTCACACCCAGTGCATTTGTGTCTGGTGGCCAGACCTACCCCATAAGCTCCACCGAAAGCAGGCAGCAGCTTTCACTGCCGTGGAAGAAGGACGACGACTCATTCGTCAAGCCTGCAAGGTTTTCCGGTCAACCAGAGCCCCATGGTCGACGAGCCGATTCGGCCGAGCCCGCAAAGAGTCCCGAGCCAGACTGCTGGCAGCCTTGGAGAAGCAAGGCGAGTGCGAGCTCCTGCAGTGCCACCTTTCAGGCATGGCCAGGGATGTCGGGTGCACGGAGGCCGAAATGACAGCAGAGAAGGCCCTCTCCTTGCTCAAGATGCACTCAGGTGGGCGTGCTGAGGTAAGCCTTCTCACATGTGTTGCCAAGCCTGACATTTGATTCTTGAAACAAGGCTGTGTCCACTGGAGCGGTTCAGACACTGTCAAGGAGGGCAGGTGGTTCAGCTGGTACGACGCTTGTGTCCGGCAAGACCGATCCTTGGAAGCAAGAGGTCTTGGCAGCCTGGACTTTCGGGGGCACGTCCGAAACTCTTTCAGTCAATTTTTTGCCATATCCATGCTCGCAGGAAGTTGGCACATGCAGCTGATGGAACTTCTCTTCCAATACTGGGAGTCCGGCCAGAATCCGTATGAGGCAGTTGAGAATGCCAACGAGGATGACGCTGATACTGATGCGGCTGGGATTCGAGCACTCACTTTCAAGGTGCCCAGGCTCAAAGTCTGTACTTTCCTTCGGGGCGCTTCGGGGGGGAAGGGAGAGGTGGGGCAGGGTGGGAGGGGCAGGGGCCTGCCCAATGCGAGGTGCTTGCAGATGGCACCAACCAGGACAAGTTGCGATCCATGCTCAAGATTTTCGGCCCGGCGCGGACATGGATGGCACAAATGGCACGAGCCCTATTTTTTTTGGAACAGTTTCAGCCACAAGCCTAGAAAAGCATTGTGATAGCCTGGCAATGCCAGGACTCCGAGCTGCAGACTTCTCCAAAAGGCTCCGTTCGGCAAGCTTTCCAGCTCGCCACCGGAGCACGAGTTCAACACCTGCTGAGGCACCCGACCTTGAGAAGAATAATACATGCAATAGGCGACTGTGTTTCTCTCTACCATGCCAGGGAGACCATCAAAGAATCCACATCCTTTGAGAACCTGGCCTACATCAACATCACCGAAGCCGAGTACGATGAGACAGCTGCAGAGACGATGTCCTTGCACTGCAGCATGCTCTGCAACTGGTTGGCCAGACTTACTGAAGTAGCCGATCATCATAGAGTGCTTCCATGGAAGTCCGTCTTGGCTGTGCAGGATCGCAGATATGCTGGCTTGCTGCAAAGTCTGCAAAAGGAGTGGGAGTTCATTCAGATGTTGGACAAATTGTCCCCCAAGAGCAAGGTCTTCCAAGCAATGGCCTTCACCCGTTGGCAAAGTGTCCGTGAGATGCTGGTGGAAGCAGAGTTTCTAGAGAACAATACATAGCAGATTTTGGGAAGGTGGGTGGGGCTTTCAAGGCTGTGCAGTTTAGGGTTGAAAATTTAGGGTTGAGGGTTTAGGGTTCAGGGTTTAGGGGTTAGGACTTAATAGGGTTTAAAGTTTAGGGTGCTTTACATTGAAGACTGAGGTCCATTGGGTTCGACAGTGAGCACCAGCGAGCCGGACTTGTGAGGCAAGTTTTCTTGTCTGCCTGCGGCCTGAAGGCTGACACACAGGAAACTGCTCTTCTTACATCCTTGCCATGCGAGCTGGCCTTCAACGACCTCAGAGATTCAGAGAAACGAGGACAGAAGTCAGTGTACAGGAGTCCTCCAGCGATCGCTGCAGCTGCTGTGAAGAGTGCTTGGAAGAGAAGCCCCTTGCAGCACTTGCAGTTGGAGAGCAAGGACTGGGCTGATCGCGAGTCAGCCAGGCATTTGAAAAATTCTATCCTAGCCGGCGCAAAGCAGATCGACAAAGAGCTTGGCATCCCCATGCATGAGCTGACACACCAGAGGCAGTGTCCACACATGACCAAGCCTCATGAGCTGACCCAGCGATTGTGCCTCTTCGTGACCTTGCTGGCAGAGTACAGGCAGAATGCCGCTGTGGACGTGGAGGCTTTGGTCTCCAATGTTTGGACCCTCAGGCTCCTCACTGCCTGCACACTCTGGAAGCTGTCAGAGAGCGAAGATGCAGAGACCCGACTGGTGCTTCAGTCAGGGCCCTGGACAGCGCAGTTCATTGTTCTGGAGACAGTGGAGCTCGAGGACAACTTCTACTACAAGATCCCCTTGCAGGCTGCTGTGGAGAACACGGTGACCTTCAAGCCAACAATGGGACTTCTTTCTGTTGCTCGAGGTGTGGCCAACTGCGAATTCGGGTTGCTGTTCAAGCCCGAGGCCTTCATGACTCCCACTCGCTTCTTACTCACACACAGAGTGCTCGAGATGCCTTCCAGCTTCGTGAGTGCTTTTTGCCGATTGGTGGGCTTGAACCTGGGCAGATGCACTCATGCAGAGCGAGTGCGACGACTGCTTGAAAGGGAGGGGTTCGACGATGCTTACATCAAGGACATTATGGATGCTTTGCCAGCTCCTGTTGCTCGGGCACGAGCTGCAGGTGCAGATGCTGCGCAGGACAGGGTTTAGGGAAAAGGGTTTAGGCTTGCCGGTTTAAAGTTTAGGGTCTAGGGTCTAGGGTTGAGGGTTGAGGACCTCCACTTCAATTCATGTGACCCGAACCCGCCCACTTGTGCAATTGATAGGAGCCAGATGATGTCCACACCGACGACGACAGGGATGATGATCATGATGCCGAGGAAGAGGTTCTCGAGGACCTCAACTTCAATGTTGACGAAGACCAGGTGCCTGATCAAGCAGAAGCAGCGCAGCCAGTTCCTGGTGAGCCTCTACAGCAAGAACACCCGGACCAAGAAGAGCCTGCCAATGATCGCATAGACATTGGCAATGCCGATCTCGCTGCTGTTGCTGTGGGTGAGGGCTATGCTATTCCTGAACAGAGGGCCGAGCCCAGCTTTCCCATAGTGTACTTTGTCTTGTTCGCCTTTTCTTCTTCTTTTTTGTTTTGTTTTTTTTTTTTTTTGGGGGGGGGGGTTTAGGGGTGGGGAGGGGGTACAAAAACAGGATCGTGCACCAGGACCCCTTGGTGAAGACCGTTGCAGACTGGGACCACATAATTTCCGGATCCCTTCACACCAGTTCGCTGCAGGAACTCGGGGTGTGATCGGTAGACCTGAGAATTGCGCGCCTTTCCTTCAGGTGCGAATTCTCACTGGGGCTCGCCATGGTGGCAAGGCTTCACGAAGTTGGTCATTCGTGCCTGCTGCTGGCGAGCAGCCATTTCGTCGTGGGGTGAACAGGACATGGGATCAGGCCTGCATGGCTGGAGCAGCCTGGTCTCACGAGTGGTTTGGCAGTTTGTCTCTAGCTGAACAGAATAGGATTCGAGAGAGGTTTCCTCCCCAACCTGTGCCTCCTGCAGAAGAGGCAGGTCAAAGGGGAGAAAGGAGGCCAGCTGATGTGGAAATCGGCAACGATCGTCAGAGGCAGAGGGTGGCTGAGTGAAGTCCTCTATGTACATGAGCATGGTTCTTCTAAACTTTCCTTCACCAGACCTGTGTGGATGCTGTTGTGAAACCAAGCCCTTCTGCACTCACTGAAACTCCTACCTGAGCTCCGCTCGGGAAGTACCGGCATTCGTCGCCCAGTCGCAAAACATGAGACCCAAGCTGATACTTGTCTGTAAGCTTTCGCAAGCAACCCAACCGTCGTCAAGCAATGATCTCCTGTGCAACTAACTACTTCAGCCACCTTCTAAGGAAATACGTAAAAATCACCTAAAATCCCATGAAACCCCAACAGCTTTGGAGCATTATCCGGGGATTCTTAGATACTTCCTATCCAAGCACTCTCGCTTCATGACAGGTCAGTCTCTTAGTCTTGCAAAGTTCCTCTGAGACCTGTCGTTTGGTCCTGGAGCAGGAGCTGAGAAAATGCTTCAGATGGGATTTCCTCTTCATCGGCTCGATCTCAGTCGAAACAGCGAACGGGAGCCTTGTCTGCGAAGTTCTTTGGGCCGACTCCAGGTTTCTCGCCAAAAAACTAAGGAACTGCACAGTCTTGCTGGCAACAGTATGCACTTGCGAGCCATAGCAGTTGCTATTGCAGCTGCTATCACTGTGACTTGGCTAGCAAATGAACATTTCTGACCAGGTTGATTGCCTGTTGCAACGCGCAAGGCCGTCGATCCATCGGCCCTGCAAGCCAAAAGTGGATGACGAGGACATGCCTTTATCTGACTCTGGCTTGCTGCACCACTACTTTGCCAGGACATGTTGGCTGAGTGCCCTGCCGAGTGCCCCTGTGCCGTGCGCTTTGTCAAGCATGAGTTGAAAGCTTTGAATTTGTTGTGTTCCTGTTGCAAAGACCATTTAGCCGTCAACCGGGGGGCGGGGAGCGGCCATGGCAGCTGTTGGCGAAGAGAAGCTGTCAGTGCGAGAGCAGATTCTGCACTTTTTCACCGAGGCCATTTGTGTGTGATTGAAAGGTTCTGATTCAGAGCTTCTGTCTGAAGTTCTTCAGCCCTAGCTTGAACTTGAAGGTGAGCAAGCAAGACAATGCGGGCGAATGGCTCAATTGCAACTATGACAAGGAGAAGATGGCCAAGGCTTCCCGAAGGCAACCGTAGCTGTGTGCCGGGCCGATAGCGCTGCTCACCCAGGCGATTGACCGTATCGTCGCGGACCGCCCTGGAGAGACTCCGACACTTCTGACGTTAGTTCCCAACAAGACAGTCAATGATGTGAAGTTGTCATTGAAACAGTTGGACTTCAGCCGCCTTGCCAAGACAGCACGTCACTTGTCATGGGTTCACAGCTGCTTGTGTGACTTGTGGTTGTGTCAGGCAGTTGTGTGTGTCCGTATATGTTTTTCGCCCAGTGCATGTTTGTGAGATCTGTATGCAGCATGAAAGCCTTGCCGTCAGATTTTCCGCCGACAACTACGTTATCAGTTCACTTCGAGAGCATTGTCAAGAACAACTTCGATCCCTTCAGGGAACCCTTGCTGGTCAGATTTCCTGCCTGCGACAAGCCTCACAGAGCCCTGGAGAACTTTGAAGTGAAATACGTAGATGGCTTCACGAAAGGCTTGATTGGGCAACTGATCGTGGCCATCGTGGACCAGCTGGCTACTTGTCAATCAATGTTTAATCTCAAAGTTCGCTGTCATGTGACACATGCCTCGCTTGAGCACATGGGCGGTGGATGGCAACAGTTCTAGCCGCAGCCGCAGCCCACCACGTCGGGGCCGTCGAGGCGCTGCAGCCCCCAAGGGATTGTGGCGTGTGAAGATTGTCAGCTCCTCTTCGTGAAGAAGAAAGCTCAGAACAAGCCAGCGCTCGTGAATCGGCAAGTTCAGCTGACGGTCCGACGACTCTAAGCAAAATTTATTGCTGCTGCTGCAACAGCACTTGACTTATGTTTCAGCATCGATGCCGTAGAATGCTCAAGCCAAGGACTGCTGCTGCTGCAAACTTGCAATTGCAGCACTTAGCAAGTTTGGCTGCATCGGCGCACACGGCAGCTGATTCTCAGCATAGCAAGAATGGAAAGAATCGCAAGAGAATCAAGAAGGCGTTGTCCTCCAAAAAGCACAGTGGATGCAATTGTGGGCGCAGGTCATGATGTCGAAAATTCTACGCGAGAAAAATTGTCGATTTCGTGGCGTTTGAAGAACAAATTGTTTGGGCACGTAGTGCAATCCTCAGCCTGACAGGTGCTGGAGGAACGTTACCTTCTCCGTGCTGCTTGAGACCTGCCAGCTTTTTTGGTCTTTGTGCAAAACAGCTCAAGATGCTTTGCTTTGGTCTTTGCAAGCCACCTTTGTTGCTGATTCTGACGGCGTCGAGAGCGTGGATTCGGATGATGAGAAGTGGAGCCACCGTGTGAATTGGTTCATATCAGGCAGGGCAGCTCTTTTGACGATGGAGTTCAGTTCTATTCTGTATATATTTGTTTAATGTAACTCAAGAATCAGAAACAATTGTCTGTCAGGTGTTCGAGTATGCCGACGCTCGTTTTTGAAGATGCTGGGTCTCAGCTGCGGCCGCTTGCAGCGGACGCGCAAGACCTATCAGGGCTTGGATCGACGAACTTTGCCTGGGCCGGGGCCCTTCAGATTCATTTAAAAACATTTTAGCATCATAATAAATTATAAGTTAATAATAAATTAAAAATATCTAATATTTAAATTCAAATCAAATTTTAACTTATGTTTTAACCCAAGACACCATTGAGAGTGAGGCAACGGTCGGGCTCATCCTGCCCACGCTGCAGACTCTTGCCACGTCTTTCTGCGTCAGCTCTACTACTCCATCTCCGAGACAATGCCAACTGGCATTTTCAACAAAGACCAAGGCCAGGACCTGTCGCGGGAGGATGCAAGGGATAGCTTGCTGCGTTCTTTGCTGGACTCCGTGCTCGAGGGTCCTACCGCCCATACAAGAATCTCGCCGAAGCACTTGGCAAAACGTGAACTACCGCCAGGCAATTGGGCCAACTTGTACCTTCTATACCTGGCTGAATGCAAGGCGCGCAAGACAGCTCCAGCTTCGAAGAGCACGTTTTACACAGCAGTCAAGGCCTGGAAATGTTGCCTGAGATTTCGAAAGAAATCTACACACAGCACGTGCTACACTTGCGATGTATTGCGTGCGAGAATGAAGCATGCAAAGTCGTTCTGGTCCCACGCCACAGCGACCGATGCCCTTCTTGGCCATTTGATGACTACATGGCGATGTAGACAACAATACTGGGCTGCCCGCACAGCCAGCCGGACCCGACAGGACTTAATTACGTTGATCACTGATGGGTTTGACAAAAGCAAGCCAACACTGCCGCGTTGGGCACGTGGTCGAACGCCAAAAGGGGCCACGTTTGAGAAATACAATCGCCCCCACCTCAACATCAGTGCAGTCTACGCCCATGGATACTGCTGCAATGTGTTTATGTCCGATGAGTACATGACAGTTGGAGGCAATTACTCGTGGGAGACACTCCTCGTGACTCTCAATGACTGCTTCAAGATCCTTCGCGCCGAAAACAAACCTATGCCACCAGCGTGTCTCGGCATCAATTAATAATTATTTAATTAAAATTAATCTTCATCATCATCATCATCATCATCATGTCATGCCATTTGGTTGTCAGTGGCCGTTTATCCCAGGTGCTGGATACAGTCAGACAATACGGTCAAAGAGATCAAGAACAGCTTGAGCGGAAGGATGGCGTGTGCACTGATATCTGCCGGTGTTTTTTTCGGAAGTTGGTCACCGCCACTTACCGAAAGGACACACTCATGAGGACATTGGCAGCTTGGCTGACTGGCGAATAGTTGATTGAATGTCACTCGTCACATCGTGAACTCGTTTCTGTGGTGATGCCTGGCTACCAGATGCAATTTTTGGATCGCTGACATCAATTTTGATGTCGGCAGACGATTCGGTACAAACGCCGAGTGATTTGAAGAGGCCAGCGAATCAACTTGTTCTTGTGACCGTGCCAGTCAGTCTAACTTGGCCTTTCATCTGTAGGTTGTTCGAGGAAAAGATGACCCCGGTGTTCGAACAACATGGTGAGAAATTCAATGTGTATATTGTGGACACAGCTGCCTGCTCTGATTTCATGACGTGTCGTGCAATTTCCTATGAAACTTCAAAGTCCTCAGGTTCGACAATGGGACAAGATTCTGCCTGAACCGGTCACACTGGGTGGCGCTTATAGGCCACGAGACGACGCGGACGGCGAGCAAATTCCCCACAGCTTTCTGTTCAAGAAACGTGAAGGCCAGATTTTGCAGATTGGTGCAAGACCATAAATAATCCCCAAAAAAGACTTGATTGCACGCGCCAGGCATGACATCAGAGCAGAAGAACATGGCAGAGACCAGAAGATTTCGTGGCGAAGCCCCTTCAGACGACGACATTTTTGCATTTCTGAAATTAAACTTGTGCGACGATGACTTGTCACAACCTCCTCTCCTTGTATGGCCGGCCAGTTCTGCTTCAGCCAGTCGTGAGGCTTTGGCCACAGCTCGTGGGCAGCGAGGCTTCCGGAATGCCATCGACCATGAACGGGCAGAAGGGCTGCGCAGGCTTGCTGAGGCCCTGAGAAATTATCCTCAATACGAACGTGGCGCTGCTTATCTTGAACAAGTGGCCGGTGTCCGAAACCGACCCTTGGTTGGCTTACACGCCGTTGACTTCCTTGCTGGTGCGCGGCACCAGCGTCGGCAACTGGTGCCACCTGGGGCAATGGCAGCCCAACCAGCGCGCCCTGTACACGCAGTGTTTCGCCGCGGGAGGCGTTGAGAGTGTCGTTGCGACTGTCGGACCTCAAGCTGAGCTTGTGCCAGAAACAAAATGACTTGTGTGCAACTTGTGTGAGTGAGTGCTGCTGTGTTGTGTGCAACTTGTGTGAGTGAGTGCTGCTGTGCGCGGATGTTCTTGGCAGGGCTCGGCTATGAAGTTCTTGAGGGGGACCACTATGTGCCTGGGCAAGAAAGGCACGAACGGCCGCGATTCAAAAACAAGGACCAGTGGAAGGAGATCCTTCTTGTCACTGCGGCGGCATCTGTGATGTATGCGGCAAGGGTGGTGGGCGATTTTGACAGAGCTGTGGGTAAGAATGCCACTGTAAAGGAGAAGGCCGATGATCAGTTGACATCGAGTCTTGAGTGTTGTTTGCAGCATGTTTCTCATCAAGTGGCTGTATCCCTGACAGAAAGCCTCGCAGCGGAGCGTTGAGCAGCACGAGGAACTAATGGACATCGTTCAGCTCTGGGTGTGGATGCGACCCAAAGTTTCTTGCACCTTGGACGGATCCACCATGGACAACTTAGACAAGATGTGGTGGCAGGGGCTGCTCGGCATAATGCTGCACGGTGGTTTGTTTTTCAACTCAGTCAAGTTCGCCTATAGCCCACGGAAAAAAAAACTGCACCCGCCTGAGACGCAGCCCTCACCCATTTGCCTGCTCGATGGAATTCCAGGTTTTGTTCGCGAAAAAAACCGTCACATGTTTCAGCTGTGCGAAAAAGACCGTCCCAATTTTCAGCCGGCCGTACGAAAGGCGGGGGAGAGCCTGCCTTTGAAAATTCGCCGCCCGGCTCTAAGCCATGTTTTTTGGAAGGCGTGTGGGCGTACCCAATCGGACTTCTTGGCTGCCGCGCAGAACAAGCGCAAGGACGCTCACGAGGCTGCGGTGAAATCAGCCTGGCAAGCCTTCAAGGCAGACCTGACTGCGGATTGCCTTCTTTTCGATGCTATGCTGCTTCGACACGCGGGAATCGGACGCGAAAAGAGAAGCACTCGTCGACAAGTTGCACACCGTGTCCCTTGCTTAGTGTGTTCCTGCAGCTGGTTGTTCATGAACACATTTCGTCGAATCTTGCTAGAAGCAACTGTTGCAGGCACTCAGAGTCTTGGAAGGTTCTCGACAAGCATATGCAAGATTTTTTCAAGATATGGGAGGTCAAGACGCAGGAGCTTGGCGACCAGACGGTCCTTCCGGACCTGATGCCATGGTTGGACGCTGCGATGGACAAGGTGACATACACCCGAATGCCAACCGAGGAAGGCTTCATCATTTACTTCAACCTGACGACGTGCGGGGTACTCTCCGCTGCGAAGCAGAACTTCCTCTACCAGTTTGTGACAACGTTCCTTGCAGTGCAGCGTGTCAATGGGATTGCTATCGTCGTACTTCCTAACAAAGCTGGCAGTCCGAAATCGTCGGGGCCTCACTGCTTTGAATTGACTGAATGGACGCCAGTTCCAGTCCTTTGCATTTTTTCTGACGAGAGTGACGCGAGTTTTCAAATTGAGTCTCAGACTGAAATATGCACTGAGGAAGGATGAGGACGAGGATGATGTCAAAGATGCTGATGATTTCAAAGATGAAGACGATGACACCAAGGCCGAGGATGAAGATAATGGCGGTGATGGTGAAGGGGCAGGGGAAGAAGCAGGATCGGACGATGTCATGCTGCTGCAAGAGCTCAGACACAACATCGAAGCAACTTTCCGCCAGCCTGTTCGCAAGCTGAAAGTTAAGAACTTGGTCATTGCCTTCGACCCTGAGACTGTGTTTGGGAAGCGCGAGCAGTTCCTACCAGCGCTCATGATCACTGCTGACGCTTGCTCGCAACGACGACAAGTTTGAAGCTTTCTTTCGAGAATTCGCACGCGTGAAGAGTTTGTTCTGTTTCGCATGTTTCGCTGC